ATTATAAATTATAAATTATATAAATTGGCTAGCATTACTATTATAAAATTATATATAAAATTACGTATATTTATAACGTATATAATATACTGGTTAAACGTATAAAATCTATGCAAAAATAATGTATACAATCTACTGATTTGACGTATAAAATTTAACAAATATTACGTATACATTATACTGTTTTTCTACATTTTTTATACATTTTTTAAACATATTATTTCTGTATACTTTCCTTATACTGATTATTTATAGGGTAGAAATCATAGAAATTAGAAAAATTGAAATTCATGATCAATGGGATCATCATTCGCTAATTGTAATTGGCGTAGTATTAATGCGTCATAACTAGACTATCACTAACAATGTTAAATCTGAAAATGATATAATTAAAGGATTTATAAATTCAAAATAATGTTTACAAGCAATACTTAAAAACTATGCAGAATTATATAAATTTATACTTAAACCCGAAGATGTAATAAAAATAATTCAAAATATTCAAAATACAGAAATATTTTTTTATATATATATATAGTAAGTAGAAAAATTATATTATTTATTTTTAGTTAATTAATTATATTAATTAATTAAAATCATTTTATAGAATTTACATGGTCTTTATATAAAATAGACTGTACTTATAAAAATACTTATCGTATATTATTATGGGATACTGCTGAATTTCCTTATGATAATAATCCAAATAATGTTATAAAATTTTGTGAATTAATTTATAGTTTAAAGGTAAATAAATATAAATAATTATAATTTAAAATAGATTAAAAAAAAACCTTTTATTTTAATATTATTAGAAACGTTTAGAAAAAAATTTAATAGAATTAATGTCATTAGATTTTGAATTATTAAAATGAAAACAACAACAACAACAACAATAACAACAAATAATTGCATATAATATTTTAGCAAATTCATTTACACCTGATTTTCAATCAAGCATATTTTCTAATCAAAAACAAATACAAAATACCAAATATTCTAATAAAAGAAAACATATATAAAAATATTGTTACAATAAATTTATTTTTTTATAAATTAAAACTTAAATTTGTTTTGCAAATCTTATAATAATAAATTTATTCTACTTATAGTTAATTAATTGGCAAACGTTAATTTTCATTTTTTATATTTTTTTAATGAAAAAATGTTATTGAATAAAAAATTGGTGTGATTATTACTAAATTTACTAACTTTTTCACTTAATTGGATATGTGTTATACAGATCAATATGGATTAATTAATAAATGTTTGGAATTAGAGAATTTGTGATACAAACAATTTATATGCATTGTATAATATATATATACATATTTAATATATATATATATACGAAATATATATATGATATACTTTTATATAATATTTATATATTTTTGCAATTGCAATAAGCTTATAGCTTCTTTAAAATTATTAGAATAGAATTGTGAAAAAAACTCTCCTATGACATTTTCAAGTTATGTTAAATTAAACTATCACAAAATCGAATTTTAATTTTGTAGATCAAAAAAAACAAAATAATTTCTTTAGATGATTCTTCATTTACGTTACATTTTTTGTATTACATTTTTGTGTATAAATATTGTATTACAGAAAAAAAATTTTCAAAAAAAATTTTTTCAATTTCAATTTTATTTTTTAAGAAAATTTCTAATTTTAACCGGAAGGAAAATCACCGGTCAATCACGTAATATAAAATCATGTGATCTAAACATATATAATCATCATAATAACTGTAATATAATACCAATAAATATATACAATACTATGATATAAACATCACAATTTAACTTAATCAAAACTTAATCAAATACTAACTAATTTTTAATCCTGAATTATAATTCCTAACCCTAATTTCGAACTCTAATCACTAATCCTAATACTAATCCTAATCCCAAATAATAATCCCTAAATCTAATCCCAAACTCTAATCACTAATCCTAACACTAACTCTAATTCTGAATTATAATCCCTAACCCTAATCCCAAACCCTAATCACTAATCCTAATACTAACCCTAATCCTGAATAATAATCACTAACTCTAATCCTAAACTCTAATCACTCATCCTAACCCTAACTTTAATCCTGAATAATAATCCCTAACCCTAATCCCGAACCTAATTACTAATCTTATCCACTAACCCTAATCCCCTGACCATAATCTGTAAAAAGTAAAATGATTAGAATAGCATTACAATAAAATAACCAATCAGAATATTAAATAAAGTCTTTTCAATAATAAAGCAATACAATTTTTATTGGTAATACAGCTAATACATATAACATAAATATCAACAGCATATACATTAAATAATAAAACAACTTCACAATATTAAATTATTCCTTGTTAATTTTGCATGCATGTTACCCTATTATGTCCTTTATTTCCATAGTTTTGACATGTTTTTCTCTTATCAATTTCCTTGACACTATCATTTGTATTATCAGATTCATTAGATTTTAATAAATGACGCTTTTTTCTAGCATGTTGATATTATACTTCAAAAATTCTCTTAGCTCTTCCAGCCGGTCTTTCTTTTCATGTAGTAATTATAGGATTTTTAATATTAGCAACATCTTCTATTTCTATTTCTATTTCTTGACTCCTTTGCTTATCCAATATAAATCTATGACAAATACCTATAAATTCATCATAAGAATTAGTAGCAATTGCTATATCAATTGCTTTTCAGGTTATACCTTGAGCTCGACCATATTTCTGTTGAGTACTATTAATTTCTTATAATGTTGAATTATAAGCCTCAGAACCTCGGATTTGCTTGATATAATCAAACTTATATATCAGATTATCATCATTATTTTGGTTTCAATCTGATGTTATACACTGTTAAACTTAAACTGTTCGTCATTAAGTTAACAAAGATTATTTGCTAGCAGGGAGTTTAAATACGTCTAAACTATAGAAGAAATAAACACGAATAGTTAAATTGAAGGGTCAGATCGTCTTTATTGATATAGATTTAAAGAAGAATGAAGTGTTTTACAAGCAAAGGTAAAGTTTAGAGATAAATGTTATTGTTTTATTAGAGAATTGGTATTGACTCTGCCATTTAGCAGGTCAAAGATACAGAGTATTTATACAAAATAAAGTAATAGTAAATAAAATATGATAAATAAGATAAATATAATAAATATAATCAATATAACTAATATATCTAAACTAACAAATATAATATGTATAACAAATATAATAAATCTGGTAGATCGGTCAAATATGACCAATATGTCATATTTGTCAGATTTGTTTAATTTGTCATATCGGTCAGATCGGCCAAACATTTCAAATCACATAATTGGTTGTAGTTGATCGGCGCAGCATAGATCACGCCTTCAACACAAACTAATAGAAGATTATTACCAAATATCAGTATTTTTCTCAATAATATCATCCTTATACCAGCATGTTGCAATAAGTCTTATATGCCATTTAGCTTGAGTAAAATAACGTAAGATTTTATAAAAATGCCAACATGGATATCCATGAGTTATAAGAAGATTACATGTATAACGATGTGATCTATCTGATAATAATATAACATAATGATTTTTAGTTCCACAAGATATAACCAATCTCCAAATTTCTTGAATTTTTTCTTTTCCAGTTGTTAATATAATATTAGCAATATGAATCTTGATAACTTTATAATTATCCTCACGAATTCCTTCATTATAATCGATATTTGCTTGTTCCTATTAAATAAATAAGCAAATTTATATAAGTAAAGTATTATCAACTAATCATCGTAATAAATAACTTACTTGTATCATAGAATTGATAGTTGTTATATCAATTTTAATACAATTATAATAAAAACATTCTTGCATTTGTTTACAAACAGCAAATACTATTGCTGGCATAAGGTATTGTGATAAAATCTTTTCAATTGAATTAAAATAAGTTTTAGAAACAGTTGCAAGGCTAACTGTTAGAATTTGATCTTTATATTCCTTTACCCTTGTATACTCCAATTCCTTATTAAGTACTTTTTGAATTTCCTTTACCAGCATTAAAAGTGATGAATTCGATTTAATGCAATCATGAATTTTTTGATTAAGACTTTTTACTTGTTGAGTGCTATTTGCACCTGCTGTAAATTGATTATTTGTATAGCATACAGCCCATTTGTGTTAAAAGGATCTAACTTTCGTTTAATATAACTATTTGCTGATGTATATTTTGATTTTAAACTTTCCCAACAATGTTCAAAAATATTCAAAACCAATGTATTCCTACATTCAAAAAAGTCCTCACAAAACTTTTTGAATTTGTTTGAACTCAATTTGTTTTAAAGGTTTTTTTTTAGATTAAGATCAATATGAAACAAACATAAACAATAAATAGAATCTGAAAATTCTAAAGATATTGCATTAGCCATTGCTGGATCAGAATCAGTGAATACAACTCTTGGTATTAAATTTTCTGTTCCCTTTTTGATCATTTTTAATGTCCAAATAAAACTATCCTCTGTTTCATCTTCAAGTAAAACAGTTGCAACAAATCGTGTTTGGTTGCAATTGTCAATTATAGCAAAGAAGCAAGATATCATATTATATTTATTTGTACGGGATGTGTATCAAAAAAAATTACATCATAATATCGTGTCCATAAAACTGCTGTTCAGGTGATAACCATATTAATTTACATAGTCGATGCTCAATTTCATCGAATCTTACTTCAATAAACCATTACAGATCATTTACTTATTGTGAATACAAATGTTTCATAAGGTCTGATGCATCAAATTCGACCCTTGTTACTAGTTTCTTTTTTGCAGCTTGAATAGCATTGTAAAGATTTTTCTGATGAATCTTTCTTCCAGGAAATTTTTCTCTCAAAAGACAGCCAATATTTTGTGCACTTGTTATACCATGCTGTACACAAAATTCAATAAATTGAATCATATCTTCACCAAGTTTACGATATTTAGCAATATTAGTCAAAGGTGAAGGTATCATTGTATGATTGTGTTCATTAACCACAGTAGTAAAAAAAATCATCAATGTAGTTTTTGAAAAATTTCCGTTAATCCACCATTTGCAATCTGTTGCTTTGAATTGTCAATTTCATTGATCATTTAGATTTAACACTTTTTTTGCTTGATACTTACCTGCACAACTACACTCCCAGCCAACTCTTTGTATCATTTTATTGCCATTATCCGAAATTTGACTTTCAGTACGTCTTCTTCGAATACTAAACCCTTTTTCCAATTCATATTCATTTAGAAATTTTTCTGCGTCCTCTCATATGTAAAAGGTTTGTTCTACAATGATTTTAAGAAAAGAATTATTGCATTCTTCATCTGATGAATCCATATCAAATTCAAAACGGTGGCTTGTATCATCTTGGCCATGTGATCCATATGAAAAAAGGTGACCTTCCAGTCCCAGATCAGGTATATTTTCTTTGTTAGTTGATTTATTAATATCTACGATTCTATTTTCATTTTGAATAAAAAAAAGTGAAGGCGATAAGTTTTGGTCGATATGGTCAATCGTTTCCATTATGGGAAGATTTGAAAAAATGCAGATCGTTGAACAATCCAAAAAAAAGTACTTATTATTCTGATTTATGATATAATAAAAATTACATGTCAACGTGAAAATTAGTCACATGATAGACCGGTGATTTCCCCTTCGGTTAAACGTAGTTATTTCCATTTTTTAATTACTATTTTATTGTTTTTTTTTGTAAAAAAATCTAAAAAATTATATTAATCATTCTAAGATTAAAACAAGTTGTTTAGTAAGTATCAAAAAAAATTGTGTATCAAATTTCATTAGTATTTAATAAATATTCGCAAAACTATCAATTTTTTTCATAAATATACTAATTTTTTTTTTATTTTTTTTTTTATTTAATTTATTCTTTCAAGGTGAATTCTGATACTTTAGTCGAATGAAGTAGCCTTTCCGAGATTAAACAAAGTTGTCTAGTAGGTATCGAAATAATTGTGTCTCAAATTTCACTAGTATACAATAAATATTCACGAAACTATCAACATTTTTCATAAATATACTAATTTATTTTTTATTTTTTATTTTTATTTAATTTATTCTTTCAAGGTGAATTCTGATACTTTGGTCGAATGAAGCGGCCTTTCCGAGATTAAACAAAGTTGTCCAGTAGGTATCGAAATAATTTTGTATCAAATTTTATTAGTATTCAATAAATATTCACAAAACTATCAATTTTTTCATAAATACACTAATTTATTTTTTATTTTTTATCTTATTTAATTTATTCTTTCAAGGTGAATTCTGATACTTTGGTCAAATGAGGCAGCTTTTCCGAGATTAAACAAAGTTATTTAGTAGGTATCGAAATGATTATGTATCAAATTTCATTAGTATTCAATAAATATTCACGAAACTGTCAATTTTTTTTAATAATACACTAATTTCTTTTTTATTTTTTTATTTTATTTAATTTTTTCTTTTAAGGTGAATTCTAATACTTTGGTCGAATGAAACAGCCTTTCCGAGATTAAACAAGATTGTTCAGTAAATTTAAAATGATTGTATATCAAATTTTATTAATATTAAATAAATATTAACGAAACTATTAATTTTTTCATAAATATATTAATTAATTTTTATTTTTATTTTTTTTAATTTAAACATATAGGTATAATTCAGCGAGATAAAACTGATTATGTATTTATATTTTCTTTTTTAATACAATTTACAGTGAGATAAAACTGTAATTTTGTATTTAATTTCTTATATTTTTTTTCAACAATTTTTTTATATAGGTACAATTCAGTAAGATTGTATTTATATTTTCTCTTTTTATACAATTTGCAGCGAGATAAAACTGTAATTTTGTATTTAATTTCTTATATTTTTTTATTTTTTTTTAATAATTTAAAATAAACCATTATAATTACTGAATTAATTGAAAATAATAAAAACAAATCTTATTACTTAGTAAAAAAAAGATCAAAAATATTTGTTAAAGTTTAATACCAAATTTTGTGATCTGATATAAGAAATGATGTCATTTGACAAAATATTAAAAAAGGAAAAAACATTTTTAAAATAATAATATTATAGAAATTTATACACTAAAAAATCATTATTTCAAGAAGGTTTAATTTGCTTTGAAATTAAAAAGAATTTTGAATATACAATATAATGTTAATCATAATTCATGATTTATAATCATTAAAGATAAGCATCATAATTAAGAAGTTGCAACTCGGTATATTGCAACTTGAGTTTTAACTTGGTTGTAACTCCTTGTAAATTTATTTTAATATAAAAATTCATAAATAGTTGCAACTCAAAGTATTGCAACTTAAGTTGTAACTATTTAAAAATTTTAAAAATAATTATGAAAACCATCTTTAATAATTATAATAAATCACTAAGATCTGAAACTTTCTTAATTTTTTATAATTACTTAATTTCTTATTTTTCTTATATTTTTATAATATATTTATTTTCTTAATTATATTTATAGATTATAATTTAGTAAACTATTCTTTTTATATAAAGACAAATAATTTATGTATGTATTTCAAGTAATTATTTGTTCTTTTTATTTTATAAGTAAATGATTCTTGTAAATTGTATTGCAATAAATAGGATAGGTTGATAAGTTGCGTGAGGATAAAATCCCTTCTATCTGCAATTTCTAATTATTCAATTATAAACATATATAAAAGATCAAAAAGATCATCAACATTTATTATAAAAAAAAGCATACCTTAAGCCCCATTATGATCAATAATACGTTTATGCATATCTGTTGTTTTTTTCTCATAACTTTCTTTAAACTTCTTAATTTTTTATAGATATTAGCAGAATTCAAATAAATTTAAAAGGATTATTAGAAACTTTAGTAAGTCATAGAGGGAAGAAAGAGAATTGTTAATTTTTTTCTAATGAGAGAAAAAAGAAAAACATTAATTGTTTTTTCAAAAAAAAAAATACCTTCTTTATAAATGTTAGAAGTCCTGTTTCTGAATTAAAAGGGTTAAGTTGATTCAAATATCTTTATTTTTTTTTTTAAAACAAATACTAATTAAACTTTTGCGGACACCAACCTTAATTTGCAATCCTGGATCTTATAGAAGGAAAAAAAAATCATTAAATTTTTTTTATTGTTTAAAAAAATTACTAATTATCTTTCTATTTTAAAGATTCTGTTTGAATTGAATAATAAATTGGATTAAAAGTAAGTTAATTTAATTTTTTTTTAATTTTTTTTTAAAAAAATATAACTAATCTTTTATTTACTTTTTTGTAAAAATACTAGTCATAACTTTAAATTCTGGATCGAAGCTATAGAGAGAAGAATTATTATTTTTTTTTTATGATTTTTAAAAAAATATTAATACTGTACTTACCTATTTATTTTGTAAATTTCAACATCTTTGTTTCTGGATTGAATTATGAATTGAATGATCAAAAAATAAGCAGGTTCAAAAGTTTTTTTTTTAAAAAAAATTTTTTTTCAAAAAAAAAAATATTTACTTATCTTATAAATGCCAAAGTCTTGGATTTTGAAATTCTGGATTAAAAGAAAAATTGAAATGAGTTATTTTTATTTAGTTTTTTAATTTAAAATCAAAAAAAATTTAATCTTTATTTACATTTTGTAAAAACTGAAGTTCTAAATTCCTATAGAGGGAAAGAAGAAATTGTTTGTTTTTAACGATTTAAAAAAAAAATACTAACATTTATCCTTTTTATTTTTAGGTTTTATCTTTCTGATATTCAGAAGCTTATGAGAACAATTTTAGATCAAGAAATGCAATTCAGCCGCAGTTAGATTGAATATGTAAATCAATTATATAATAGATTCTTATTTTAAGTAAGTTTATTTTTTTTAAATTTTTAAAAAAACTTGTACTTACTGAATACCTTCTTAGCGAATATCTTCTTTAAAGTAAGTTTTGGGTGTAATGTGTTGTAATGTATTATAGTAAGGGGTTTTTTTTAAAGAAAGAATGTTACTAACATTTTTTTTTTCTTTTTTTTTCTTTTATAGGAATGGGACTTTCTGGAATCTCTTAGAACCTTGAAACAACTTTTTGAAGATAAGTTTTGAATGTGATGAGATAGGTGGATTTTTCTTTTTAAGAAAGAATGTTATTAACATTTGTTCTTTATTTTTTTTATAGGAGTGACCTTTTGAACTTGTAGACCTTTAGATTTTCTTTGAAAGAATCTTAAAAGATAAGTTGATGAGTAGTAGTGGTTGTCTCTTTGAGAACATTCAGTAACATTTTTTTTCATTTTCTTTATTATAGGACTGTTAAATTACTTTACTTAGGATTCAAATATTGATTTTTTTTAATTAAAATTCTTAAATTAACTTTTGAAATAATTGAATAAATAAAAAGTTAAAAATAGTTTGTTAATTAATAAAGTTACTAAAATATGAACTTTATTAAATTATGAAAATTAAAGTGTAATTAAATAAAAAATGTATAATAAAATTTATTTATTTTAAAAATTTACTAAATTTGCATTGAAAATTTATTTAATCTGTATAGGTATAGCTATTATTTATTTATTTTATTTTATTTTTTATAGTTATAATTTTTTATTTTTCTATTTTTATTTTTTAGTTTTTCTAATTATAATTTTTTAAATCATATCAATATGGGAGCATTACAAAAAACTTCAAAAAAAATTTTAATTTTACTCTATAAGTTAATGATTTTTTAGTAAATAAGTTTAGATTTAACATTAATTCAAAAAAAATCTTTTTTAAAGTTTTCTTCCTTTCTATTACAAAGCTTTTATATAGATAATTTGCAAACCACTTATTATATCTTAAATTTTTTTATAAATTTAATTGAATTATATATAATATTTTTTTAATATTTTTTTATTTATAATTT